CCCCAAAACCCCAAAACCCCAAAACCCCAAACTATTATAAAATTATTGAAAATGAGCACTGCAAGTCTAGTCTCAAGGTAAGAGAATAATCTCATTTCAGTAAACTTAGCAGCAAGACACCTATAAAGTCAAGCTTGAAAAAGGGAAAGTCAAAGTTTAGCAAAAAGAAAGGGGTAAAGTTTGAGGATGAAAGCCATATCTCTGAAAAAGGAGAGAACCAACAAGCTATAGAGGTTGCCCCAGGTAAGTAATAGACCATTCTTTCTTTGGGAATCGATTAACTTAACTACAAAGAGTTAGAGCATTTCTATTTGTCACTCTTTCAAAATTGTGACGATGATTTATCAAAATTTAGCCAAATCACTAAAGAAGAATTTTTCATTGCCTGAGATAAGAACCTCAATGAAGACCGATGAAGATGATGCACCAATTATGTCAATGAAGGGATATCCTACTTCAAGGCAAAAGAATCTGCAAGATTCTACTCCTGCACTGGTTCCAAATGCAGGTCGGAAGAGAAGGTCTGTTGTGGGAAGTATCAAAGATCGAATTCAGAATGCAATTAAATAAGTCTCAGAATAACAGGTATAACAGAGATGCCATTGACGATCTTGGACATATGGACTTTAACATTGATAAATCTAATGTTGAAGAAAAGACACTAATTAAGCCGATATACGAAGAAAAGGAGGAAGACCTTGAAAGAGCTGAAAGAAATCTTCCTATTCATCAAGACGAAGACGTTCATGCGCTAAATGGGGATTACAGGATCAAATTAAATGATGTAGAGCAAAAGAAGCCAAGGCTTATAATTGGAGGTAATAAGGGAACATCTCTTAAAAATGTATCTCTCAAGGATGAGAAGCCGAAGAAACCTTTCTCAACTACACGGTGGAGTTACCCAGAGTTTGATGGAGAATCAAAGATCCTTCTTGGTAAAAAGAAAGATGAAATTCCGAATGAGCAAGTTAAATTATCAACCTTGGAATCTCCTCTACCTAAGGAACGGAAGAGATTACCATCACTAGAGATACAGCCTTCACTAGAGGTACAACCTTCACAAAGCACATTAAATGGCAAGACTGTGAGCTTCGCAGAAGCTCTCCAAGGTGATAAGATGCAAGCTACCCTACCTAGCAAAATTATTCCTATGGATCAAAAATTAGAAGTTCCAGATTTCGACACCACGAAAAGGCTAAAGAAAAAGCATAGCGAATTGACTAAATAAGGGGCTTTCTGAGAAACTCTACAAAGATGTAGATGAATTCAAAGATCTTCGAGAAGAACAAGAGAAGCGAAACCGGATATCTGCAGAGAAAGGAGAACAGTTACGCCTTAACTTCGTCCAAACTGCCATGATTCACAAGCCTAATATTGTCTCTGAGTTCATGAAAGCCTTCTCACTAGAGACTAAGAATATCCATGAACTTATAGAGACAGAAAATAAGAAGAAAGAAGATATGTACCAGAAGCCTTTTGGAGCAAATTCCAAGAAGGTTAAACAGTTTACAGACACTCTAGTCTCTCAATCATCACTTATGCAAAAATTGTTAAATAAAAAGACTAACAAGAAAAAGAAGAATTCCCTAAGAAGTCAGTTGGCTAAGAAGTTTGACAAGTTGTTTAATTATAATGAGAAAAGACCCCCTATTAAACCTCTCAAATCGAAGAAGGGACCGAAGCTGTACTTACACAAGCAGCATGTCATTCTAGCCAAGAATGAAACCATGCTTTACAAGTATGATGTACGGGATAAGAAGTACACAATGCATGATACAGCTGCTAAGACTGCATCCAAATATTCTTTCCCAAGCTTCTGTGACCTCCTGAACGGTACTATTTTCGTTACTGGAGGGATCCCTGAAGAGGAAGGAGCAGACCCAGTAGGAAACTCTTATATGGTAGAAGGATACCAAGCTAAGGTAACTCATGCTGATTCTATGATCACTCCTCGTTACAAACATGAACTTGTGTTCTGCAACAAGTGAGTTTACTCTCTTGGCGGTTATACCAAAAAGAGAGCTATCACCAAATAATGTAGAAAAATATGACTTTCAAAATGGAGAATGGGAAAGAGTTCCCCAAATGTTTCATGAAAGGGCTGACTTCACAGCCATTGCTAGCCAAAGCTCCAAATCCCTCTATGTCTTCGGAGGGTGTATCAATGAGCAAGATAACTTATTAATCGAGAAATTTGATTGTCGATGTGAGGTTTGGGTCACTCTGAAGATCAGAATGAAGTTCAACATCAACAAGTATCACCACCTCTGAATCGTGAGGGAAGGAACAGCTGCAGATGACAGCTCAGAAGTTGATCAGGAAGAGCATAAGAACTCCAATGTGAAGGACCAAAAAGAATCTGATCCAGAACCTTTAAAGCCTATATCTGCTGTGAATAACCCTAATGAAGCAGAAGTACTAGAGCATCCGCCTGAGCTACTGCATGAGAAAATCGAGAAACGCTCCTTACTTCTGAAGCAAGGAAAAGATGTCAAAGAAGGACCTTCTGATAACTCTAAGGGAGTTAAGAGAAAGATAGAAGTTGATAGATCTCTTCATGGAAATCCTTCTAAAACTAAAATATCTACACTTTCCGACCCGGCTAGACCAAGTTCTGAGGAGAATGATGGGAGGGATGAAATATTTGATATCCATAGGAAAATCTTGGAAGAAGTCTCCAAGATTAAATTCAACGATTGTATTACTATTATTGAATATATTCCTAAAGAAAAGCAGGTGAATCTTCATTTCTTGAACCTAAAAGGTATGATAACTCTAACTTCTAAACTTTATAAACTGGTCGTAGATATTACTCACTATCAATCAAGCAAATTATGACCTAAAATGCTAACCTTGCTAGCACATCTGGCCTGATTTCTGCCTAAAATAAGAGCCTTCCACTTACCATTGCTAACATAAATTATAGAACAAAAATACAGAATAGTTCAGCTTGAGACTCAAGAATCAGGACCTATGAAGGGGGCTGTCTACAGAGCTTTCTTTAATGAAAACAAGCTGTATTTATTCCGAAAGCAGCCAATCGACCAAGCCCAGGTGATTAATATGCAAGAAGCTGATAATTACGGCACTGGCAATAAGAAACTTCAGACAGAAAATCTTATCTTTGAGAAGGTTGAACAAGAAGATATCCTTCAAGAGGAAGAACGCGATAAACCTGATTATGACCCTAGGGTCAGGCAGAAAGAGCTAGGATTTTTAGACCGAGTTGAACAGGATAGAGTCAATTCTTCCAATAGTGTGGGCATGAAAGAGGATACGAAGGAACTTGAAATCAAGAAGAAACCGAAATTAGAAAATTCAGATGATGAGAGACTAAAGCCTAGAAAGATCAATTTTAGCTTAAAGAATCCTAATAAAGAGTCTGAGTCTAAGATTTTGAAGAATATTAAAGCAAAGACTTTTAAATTTACTGTTAAGCCTCATAAGTCTACTGCTATTGCTGAGAAGTTGACAGCTCTTGCTGAAGAGAAGAAGAAGTCATCTACCATACCAAAGTCTTCAATAAAGCCTTTAAAGAAAGAGACTTCAAAGGAAAAAGAAGATCTTAACAAAGAGAACACTCCAGAAATTCCAGAACAAGATTCTGAAGAAGCTCCTTCTCAAACAAAGCAAAAGAAATCTGGCAAGAAGAAGGTCAGATTTGAGTAATCTTCCAAGCCTAATTCTCTTTAAACTTATCGTATAAAATTCTAAAATCCCAAATTTCCCATCGGCTTGATTTTCAGACTACAGAATTCAATGGAAATACCTTATTCAGGGGTTTTGGGGTTTTGGGGTTTTGGGGTTTTGGGG